ACAAATGTTTGCTTTAGCTCAAATTCACTTCTGTGGAAGCCTTCATACCACACAGATTTCCTGTTTCTCTGCAACCTTCAGCTGTTTCCAGTCAACTCACAGGTCAGAGTTGAGTTTTGTTCAGCTTTGACTGAGCAGGTGTCCTCACTTGGCCGCAGGTGCTGGAGCACATTGCATCAGTCATCTTTTGGAAACACACTGTTTTCACAAGAGCTGCTGAGCACCACTAATCACAGTTCAGGGCATCGAGAGGCTTATTCACAGTGACTCACTGGTCATTGTTTGTGAAACTGTAACCAGCTGACGTTTCCTCACATCACTAAACTGGCATCACAGGGGCTTAATGTGTCCCTTCTGAGAAGTCTTGAACAAAGTGTTAATCTCTGAGTTGACTGTGCCCTTCACAGACAAAGTCATAATGGCACATGATAGAAACAGGTCTTGGTATCAGGAGTGCCATAGAAGAGACATATATAGATTTTTGTTCTTCATGGGAAAATAACCACTGTTGCAGAGTGACAAAGGAGAGAACCATCAAGACTTTATGAGAGGCTGCTGAAAGATCCTCCAAATGGTTTTTAATCAGGGGGGTGAACAGTGGGCTTGTACTGAGAGGATGAGAGTCTAGCATATCTTATTAACCTTAATTAGGTTGGCTGAGCGTGAAATGTCTGAAAGGCTTGATGCATACATTAACTCCAGATTCAGATCACTGTTAGTTTACCATAGGATGTATCACTACATCAAATAATCATTTGCAGTGTTGTTGGACGTCTTTTCTGCTTGATCTAAGAATTATGCTTCTTATACTTTTAGCACATTACTCTTATTTTTTACCAGCCAATATGTTTTTGTCTAGTTTAATTCAATGTTTTCAATCTAAGCAATGAAATGACAGATCCAAAAGGTGATTTTCATATACTAGAAGACAAATCACGAGCAAAATGTTACTCGGTGGCTGATCTTTCCACCTTGAAGTTTCAGTTTCATGATAGAAACATGGACTCAGGCTTCTTGTGTTTCATACACAACAACCTTGAGGAACCAATCCTGTCAATTTACAGGGTGAGTTTTTTCGTATCATTGTTCTTCTTCAGAATCAGTTTCCTGTTTAAACATGTATGACTGAATCACTATAATTTGACCTGTCATTGTGTTGTGTAGAGTAGTTTTCCAGTGTTTAAGCAGAGTTGTAGGTGAGCATGTAAGTGGAGAGAGAGGTGGTGACTGGGTAGCTATTCTGGAAGAAGCAGCAGACACCTGACAATGCAGGTAGGGATTATGTTTATGGAATAAACAAACTTCTACATATGTAACTGGGATACACAGAGATGAGTTTTTTCGGGCTTACATACAACCAGAGCGGGACTTTAAAAGCACTGAAGTTTTGGACGTCATGCTCTACACATGACCAGCTAAGCTTAGTTGCAACTATTACCTGTACACTGAAGACTACATAACAAACAAGGATTCACTCAAATCTGGATGAGTCGTAGCAAAAGCAATGAAAGTGCAACAGTACGTGTTTTTTGTATTTTATTGAAGAATAAAAGGAGCAACAATGAATAACACAGGAGAGAGTAAATATTTAAGCTGACAGTCAGAGCTCCTATACTCGTTAATTGTGTTAATTGTGTGTCTTATGAATGCCTTTCAGAATGGATGTGCCTTTTGTTATCAGAGAGAACAAATCCTGACACGCAATATTGTAGTGCTGCTAAATCTCACAATTCCTTATGTAGAATAGGTCATATGTCATGGTAAACTCTTCTCTTTTTTGTATTTTAGCACTTAATCATACAGATAGGTATAATGCTGATATATTAACAAAAGATATGGACAATACAATACGAGATGTGATTAAATAAGCTATGCTTTTGTTCATCTCAGAGGGAAAATTCTGATATTGTAGCTGCACAAGGACAGACATTACAGTAGAACAAGGAAAACACTTCGTATACAAAGTGAAAACTCAATCGAAGAAAGAAATGGAAAATTTCCCCACAACAATTGGATTACAAGGCAAGCAATAAGCATACGGTGCGCATCACCTTGGAGTTCACCTGAAAAACAGACTGCACTAGATATACAATACAGAGGCTATCTACAGGAAGAAAGGAGAAAGCTCTTGTTTCTGAAGAAGCTCTAGTCTTTTAATGTGTGTAGCAAGATGTTTCAAATCTTTTATTAGTTTGTCGTAGCCAGTGCAATATTGTTTGTTTCAGTCTGCTGGGACGGCAGCATCCGAGCCAGCATCACGGACAGACTGAATAAAATTATCAGGAAATCTGTTGACCCTGAAGTTAGTTGTACAGAGGAGGACGATGAACATCTTGGAAAACATCTGGCACCCCCTCCTTGACCTGTTGCTGGAGCAGAATCAATACAAAAACATTTCTTAGAACTACTGCTATATTAAATTGACAGATAGTTAATGTGCAACATCCATAGACAATCCTGCACATTGCTGTATAGCTTCTTCTAGAAACTAGAAACTTACATGTAGAATGTACATTGCATGATAGTACATTTTTAAGGATTACACAGTTTATACTAAACACATAATATATTTATATTATGTACTAATGTAGTATAAAATGAAAAAGAAAAAAAAGGTGAAATTAGTGTAATATGATATTAAAAAGACTTCAGGAGGGTATTATAATTGTTATGTCATAGCTAGAATGAGTATATTATATACTATTATTAGCATTATTTGTCACATAATTTAGTTTTATCTGTTTGGAAAAAATGTCCCAAAGACAGACCTAGAAATCACTCGACATAATGAGCTGAAGCATCACATCCATCTCTGAAAATGCAATGTGCAAGAATACCCATGGCAGAGAAAGTGTCATCTAATTTCACACATATTCTACTACACCATAGCTTTAATTGAAATCATACTGGATTTGGGTTTTCTGGCCTCATGCATTTTGTTAAAATTGACAGAGCAGAGAATTTAATTTGTTTCAGGCTTGGTAACACAAACCTGGACTCCACATTTAACATTTTTAGCATTACAACATTGAACTGTGTCTGGCATTAAATCTGTGTACAAATCTTTGCGTGTAAAAGGTTTTCAAGCCAATATTATAAATCAATTTTAATTTAGAAATTTCTGAGGCTTCATGTGTAAAATTGGCTTGCCTAAGACCAATTCATATGGAGACAGATTATTCTTAGGAAGATTTCCTCCATTTATTTTATTTTTATTTACCAGAAGCATGTGGAGTTCTTCCATTTAGAGTCACCCTCGGAAAAAGCTTTACATGATGACTTCTTCTTGAAGACACACCTGACATCTGTTCTTGTCAGCCTACAGCCTAGTGTTTAACGACACACATTATATAATACAGGTGAGTAAAAATGGTCAAAAACAGACAGAACATGAGAGTAGCAAATTGCTGTTCAGTTCAATGCCCTGCATGCCGCTCATCCTTCTATTTAATCTATGTGATTTAGTCACTGTGCTGCAGGGTGGCGAAGTTGGTAGCACTGTTGCCTCGCAGCAGGAAGGTTGGCGGTTCGCGTCCCGGTGGTGGCACTGGAATCTTTCTGCGTGGAGTTTGCATGTTCTCCTCGTGCAGTGTGGGTTCTCTCTCTCTCTGGGTTCTCTGGGTTCTCCGGCTTCCTCCCACAGTCCAGAAACATGTTGAGGTTAATTGGTGATTCTAAATTGTCTGTAGGTGTGAATGTGAGTGTGCTTGGTTGTCTGTCTCTAAGTGTAGCCCTGTGATGTCCCCTGCCTTCACCCTAAGTTGGCTGGGATAGACTCCAGCCCCCCTGCGACCCAAGTGAGGATTAAGCGTTGTATAGATGATGGATGGATTTAGTCACTCTCTAGGCATATACCAGTTTCTTTCTTTTGAGCTACTGCCACCTTCTGTGGCCAAATATAACTTTAAAGCTCAATCTATAAATAGTTTTTCTATTTAGTTCTATCTACCTAGTTATCTGATTGCATATGTTACCACAAGGGCGGGTCTGTTGTGCTTTCAAGTTTGAGCATATGAGTTTAACAAACACAGATGCACAGATGCTGTGTTAACAAGGATTATTAAACCGTGTGGTCTCAAGCTATCCCAGGTGCATTGCACATGTTTGGACAGTGAATCTACTTTATCAAGGGGGATGTGTTGCCTGTAAGGCTGTGAGACTGGTTCTTTAGATTCTAAAACATGTGCAGTTTTTAAAAGTGAACCAAGGATGCATTCAAAAATAATGCCAAGAATTGTATGACCTTCATGCAAAATGCAGTAAACAAACCTATGATTGAAAAAAACAAAAAGAAGTAAAATCAATTTGCTTGAAGGCAGCACCAGTTCCCCCAGATACATGTGCACATGGGTTTAGGTTGTACTGAGCATCTCTGAGAGCTTGGCAAAGTTATGTGGATCTATATGGAACTAAAACAGAGACAGTATTCGTTGTCATTGAAAAAAGTCATTAAAAAAAGATTTGTCATTGATAAAAAAAAATGAGACTGATAAAACTGTCATTGAAAGCAGACATGAAGACAAAAATCTGAAGATTGTTTCAATGACAAATTATTAAAAAAAAAATTTTCAATGACAACTAATACTGTCTCCGTTTCAGCTCCATAGATCTAGTCTGTTTTATTTGTCTTTTTATGTAATCCCAAACTGTCACAAACCTATGAAAATAAGACATCTGATGGTGTCCTTGTACTGGAGACAATTTTAAACGTCTTTCGTATCTATACTAACTTTTGCACAATGCTGCGCTTTGTATGGAAAACACAAAGTAATCTGGAAAGTAACTAGAAACAACTGCCAAACAAATGCAGCAAAAAGCACAAACTGAAGGGAACGTGAATGTGACTGAAAGTGAAATTTGCTGCAGGGCTCTTGCAGTACCGTGTTCTTGTTTTTTTGTCCGCCCTCCTGGAGGCTCATATCCAGGGACAGCAGGACGTCGCCTTCTCATTAGCCAATCAGCACCGTCAATACAGGATGACGTCAACGAACTACCAACACCAGGAAGTTGGAACTTTCTTACAGTCCGGATCCGTCTTCACCAAGTTGCGACTCATAAGTTTTAGACTGAAAACGGAGCTCAGAGTGGAAGTAGTATTTTTTCTATTTATTTTTTTAAAGAATCTGTTTTTGTAGATAAACTTTCTGCAAGTCGGTAAAGCAGGAGGTCGGGCAGCACGTAAAGTCGTCACGTAACACTAAGTGAAGATGTTAGCATCAGGACTGCTGGCTAATTACTGCACCGAGCTCCACGATGACCAGGCACACAAAGTGAGTACTGCTGGGAGACGCTGGGCTGGGTCTGTTGTGGGGACAGGTTGTGTTTCGATGACATTTGAATGTGCTGCTCCACCGTGAGGACGTGAAAACTGGGGTCAAACAGGTCGCAGGCTGCTAGCATGGAGGAGGGCAGTGATGTCTCAGCGGCACTTACGCTGTATTTGTAATTAGCATCACTTGTGAGCTGAGACAAGAGCCCTCAGTACAAGGCCTAAAATAGGAATAAGACAACATTTTTTTAAAGAGAAAAATAATGATACTCATGACGTACAGTATATACTTTGGTAACTGCATACCTGGTTAAATCAATTCAGTGTACCTATGGTTAGCTTTCTATTTGTATCTAAGAAACTGTAATAGCACCTTTGTCACAGGAGACATAGTGAAGTCTACATGACATTACCTGTGTCACAGACATTTTGACATACAGGAAAAGTAAAGTAACTGGGACTGAATTATATTTTGCTGCTTTTGACTGAGAGTCCTGCCTTTGTTGTGTTCTGGCTCTTCGTTGTACTGTCATGTCTTATTGGTATATTTAAAGAACAGCTTGCAGCTCGGTGAAATGTGAATTCTAACTATAGATTTTACATTGACAAGGTCGAACATGTATTTTCATACACACACTACGGTCCACAGCTTTATGACGATGAGCCTACCAGATGTCAAAATCTACCAGGAACTGATGAGGATGAGAGCAAATATGCAGGAACTTTTTTTGTGATATGAGGTGAACAAGTTCGGAGCAAAGCATGTGACACAGATTTTTGATAACGTTGTTCTACATAAAGTTTGCCACCACATATCAGGAAATAACACTGTATTGGGTGTTCAAAACTGGAAGAGGTATTGTTACGTTTCATAACAGCAACTATTGCCAAATGATCCGCTGGTTTCAGTCATGTCTCGGTTTGTCTAACATGAATCAACACTATGTGTTATAGAGCCACTTGACAAAGATAGAGAGAGAGAGAGAGAGAGCGTTGACTCATTTAAGTGTTTGCAATCAATAAAAGAAGACTTGTACAGTTCTCCTTTTTGCTAAGTTCAATCTATGATGGATCTGTAACCGTTCCTCTTGTCAGCAGCAGCTTGTGGTGCTATCTAACACATTCCTGGTTTAGACACTCCATCCAGAACCCCATCATGTCTCCGGAAACATAAGCCTCCTGTTAAAGATGAATGCCACCCACGACCGTGCTTTGTGTTACAGATGCAGCAGTGCAATCCCTTGACCTCGGGGATGAAAGCTAGCTCTGTTGTGAGGAAGTGTTGACTCGATGTCCTGAAAGCTGTACACACAATATTTAACCTTGATGAAACACTGTGAAATGCAAAACAAATAGCAAAATCTAATTATTCAATCTAATAATGTTAAAAATGGGTTTCCATTAAGTGGCCCACTATCGTAAAGCAACATGCACTGAACAGGAATTCCCCAAAATCATTAACAGAGTTATGACATGTCAAAATGTCTGCTGTGGAAAAAGCTCTTTCTTGATGAGCCAATTACATAGAGAAGTAGCCATGTTGCATCAGGCACTTCATCATGGAAACTTAGATTTCCTCTAAATTTAACATAGAACAGTGACAGCAACACTGGGGTTTTATTGATGACAAGTTGTCCACAGTGTAGGGTAAATTAACACATTTTCTGGCTATGAAACTGTTAACCAAAGATTTTTTTGTTGGGTGTACTAAAACATGACCTTTTTTTTTGTGTATGTGTGAGTATCATAAAAAAGATCACGTACATCGATGCTTCATTAGTGGCTGGTTAATGCGTGTGCTGGAATGCCTACTCTTTCAATTATTCAGAGCACATTGGCTACATGAACATGTTAAACATAAATAAAATATATATTGCAAAATAATTCTTAAATAGTTCTGAAATCTAAGTAGTTACTAATGGTAATAGAACTTATTTATTCATCGTATATGCAGGATGGTAGACATGTCAGTATTTAATAAAAACATGTTTTTAAAATCATATTTGGTTCCTTTCTGTTTAAATACTTAGATTTTTTGTGTAAGTGGTGCTGGACAAATGAGTGTGCAATTAGCCCCTTTACCTTAAAAAGTGAGCTGCCTGAATAAAGTCCACTCACTGTTTAGTCTAAATATGTTGCGTCACATCGTGTAGACAGGGATCATATGTTGTCAGTAATTACAAAACAAACCAGCGCTCAGATCAGCATGCAGAGTCTTTTTACCAGTTTAGCCCTCGCCACAGATTTGGCTACAAGAAAGACAGGGTTGACAAGAAATCCTAACACAGTTCCATGAACTGCAGCAGGTCCGATTAACATTTCATGTGACTGTTTATTAGGATGTAGAGACTCGTGGGGCCTAATATAACCAGCTGTCATCTGTGTCCTTTATTAACTTAAAATAACCTTTCTATGCAAGTTCTAACATTTCCATTTCCACAAATTGCTCATCAACATCATGCAGCCTAACTGAAGTGCTTATGACTATTTATGTGAATTACGATCCAACAGAATTTTTTAAAACTTTTATTAGTTTATTTATTGCAGACCTAATTTATTTAGGACTGCTTTTCCTATGATGACAAGTGACAATTTCACTGTGAAAAAGGCCCTTTCTTAATGTTCAATTCTCTAATATTGCACTGAATATATCAGGTCATCCATCATTTAGTTATCTACTGTGTAAAATCGTTTTCTGTCCTTTCTGATAGCAATCTTGTGCAGCCTGCTCAAAGGTCCAAATAGAAATAATAACATTTGTCCTGTGTGGTAGTATGGTAACTCTTGAATCTTTCCTGCTGATTCTTTTTATTAATGGTTGAATGGACTGATTTACTCCTTTGTCTGGCTGTTTTCTCCTGTCATGGCTTCCTTACTATTATTTCGTTTTTAACAGTGAATGGAGGACTTGAGATTTTCCAGACTTAACCGTTCACCCATGAAACCTTTACCAATTGCTCTTCTTGTGTGGCTATTTACTTACACTGAACATATTATTATGAATAAAAGAAATGGCCTCTAAAAAACATCCTTGAGGTGAACATTTACAGTTGCTTCAGAACTGCACATTCACCTCACTGTTAAAAACCACAGCCCCCTAATGTGTAGTGTGTGAACATGCTTTTGGAAAATTACTGCAAAATTATTAAAAAATAAAAACTGAAAAAACTCATACAAAACTATTTCGACTGTTAATTCACTACTTTGTGGAAGTCCCTTTGCCAGCCATTGGAATACTGAGTCTTCTTGGACTTTGTAAACTAGGATTTGGACAGTTACTCAAATTTTTCCCTTCAGATCACGTCAAACTCCATCAGATCGGAGGTGCATGCCATCTTTACATCTGTCCACAGATGTTCTGTGGGGTGTGCAAAAAGTGTGCAAAAAGCAAGGGGCTCTAAATATTTTCAGAAATGACTGTATATGCACATTTTACACATGGACATGGTACAAGGCCAGTAAAAAACACAAACTGTTGTGGACAGTATATTAGAGAGGTCACAGTACCAGAAATTTTTAAGTCCATTACCCTTAAAATCTATGATAGTTGATAAATTCATACTTCCAAAACGCAAATCAATCAATCAATGCATTTCATTGTAAACTAAAAAACCTACTGCACATACACTGCTTCTCAAAATGTTGGTTACAAGCGATTTTATTGAAAATTTTATCTGTAGTTACGAATTGGTTGCATAAAAAAGGGAAAATTTCTTGCATAATACAGTACCAATTGTGTTTTCATACAGAAAAATGTGTTCATTACTATTTTATCAGAAATACGGAACAACAATTCCAAATTATACCGATAAAACCAATAAATAACACTTTATTGACGAGTTCAGAAGTGCTAATAAGATCTACTGAATGGTACCACACTGCAACAGTTTAATAATAAATGTATTGCAAAAGTTCATGTCGGACAACAAAACAATTAAACATGTTTATGGATCTCCATGCTTGCAAGATGGCTGCTGGTCTGCATGGCATACTCTCTGCTAATGCCTGTGGCATTACATTGGGGAGATTGGCCTATTGACCTATTGTATGCAACATTTAATAGAAATGTATAAAAGTTTGATTAGAGTGCTTCTCACTTGTGTAATATTTTTCGTGGTTGCTTGGTCTTGACATTTTATTTAATTTGAAAATGAAAAAGCAGTACAAAAGTGGCATTACCTTTTTTCTGTAAAAATGAACAAACCTTGGTGGTGGACTGTTAGCCAATGTTTAATTCACTACGTTGCCTGGTTACATGGTCAGACCTTGGTATCATGATTAACATTAAATATCAGAATGGACATGTTTTTCTTTAAGTTCCATCAAAAATATTTTCTGTCAAGATTCTGGTAAATATCAAGTGTTAACTGATTTTTTAATTGCTTAACACATTTATCAGACCACCAGCCAATGTAAGGTTTATGCCACAGCTGCCCTAAATTAAAAGCATTGGTAATTACCAAAATCATTTTTATATTTCTGTAATAGTTGATACACCAGTATATAGAAGCTCTGTAACTGAAAATATATTTTAACGCTAAAATATAATTAATATTGTCAACCATGAATTTTCAAATCCACTATTTTACAAAAAAGCAGAAAAAATAGTAAAACACATTATTTTGTCTTAATTAAGATGTCAAATTATAGTTATTTACTTGCATTCCTGAACAGAAAAAAATGTTTTAGTGGTTAAATGTTATGCTTGATTAATTTCTGACTTCTCAGAAAGTGAGTCGGCTCAAATTTGGGGATAAAAAAGGTGAATTCAGTTTGAAATTCTGCATTCCTGTTAAAAATGGTAAAACATTAAGAGCTCAGTGTGAATTAAAGCACTTTGTGATGCTGGATGGTGTCTGAGACAACTAGGGAACAACAAAGTGTTCTCACAGTGTGATCAAGTATGTTTTGGAGTCAGTTGTAGACACTGGTACTTACAAAATGCACCAAGAGGCAGGAAATGAAAGTTCATCTGAAGCAGATGTCAGACACCTCAAGATTGTAAGTACTAGAGACAGAGGGAAGACCACTGCTGATGTTCAAGCAGAGATGAATGCTTCTAGATCAGAGTCTCAGAAAGTCTCCAGAATGACCATAAGCAGACGACTGATGGAACAAGGTTTAGGAGGAAGAAGAGCTGCTGAGAAGCCATTATTGAGGCCTGCAAACATGCAGAAACACCTCAGATTTGCCAGGGAGCACAAACACTGGACTGTTGGTGACTGAAAGAAGGTCTTCTGGACAGACGAGTCCAAGTTTGAACTCTTTGCTCAGCATCATCATGTTTCTGTGCGCAGAAAAGCTGGAGAACGTTTTAATGCCAGATGCATTGCACCCACAGTAAAACGTGGTGGAGATTCCATGATGGTATAGGGTTCTATTAGTGGAAACAGCATGGTGAAATTTATGGAAATCGATGGTATCATGAACAAGAACATCTACCACAACATGTTAGTGCATCATGGAATCCCTTCTGGACTGATTCTGATTGGTTGTGGGTTCATATGCCAACAAGACAATGAGCCGAAGCTACTTCAAAGCTCTTGACCAAGAAAAGGGAATCTGGAGTCCTGGATCTGATGGACTGGTCAAGTCAAAGTCCAGATTTGAATCCTATTGAGCAAATTTAGGATGTAGTACATTCAAAGATTGATCTCACAAAAGTTTAATCTAAAGCAAGTCTGTAGGCACAACTAGAAACTATTTACAACTCGGTAACAAAAGAGACACTGCATAAACACAATGGCAGCAAGAATGCAAACTGTTATCAAGGCCAAAGGAGGCCATACAAAATATGAAGTTTTCTGATTATTATGTATGAAAAAGGACTGTTTAGTTGTTTCAGTTTGTCATTTGCTACATAATTTAACGATAACACTTTTAGTTTTAAACACATTTTTGAAAGATTTCTAAAATAGTTATGTTTTTACATTTTTGTGACAGGTGGTGTATTAAATTTGTTAAGCAATGTACCTTGAGATGCTTTTCGTAAAGATTGTTTCTTTGGTTTGAGAAATAATAGAGCCGGACAAAACATTTGTTGGCAGCTCTTAAGTGGGTGTTATTACAAAGTGCTCCATTGACAAAAAGTTTGGAGACATGTTCCTTTTTGCAAGAGGTTGTATGAAAAGAACAAAATGCAGCTACAATGTAGAGATGATTTTCCAACTTACACAGACAGGGTTTCAAGGTGATACCGAAACAGCAGAAAAGCACTTCACAGATGTGATGAATATTGCAAGGCTAACACAAGGTGTGTCTGTAACAGCGGAGTCCTGTTCTGACTAATTGAAACATTTGAAGTGGTAATTTTGCCCTGTAGTTTATGTGTAGTGGACAGGGGCTCCATATGTTATGTAGACCGGTGAACTTGGCACTGTAGAGCAGCACTACATACACCTGCCACCAGTTTTAATTAATATGTTCCACACTCACAATGTGTCAGCCCGCAGTAGAAGAAGAACTGCTGCTCAAGATAATGAAAGGTCTTGTTTTACATCTGTTTATAGGTAAATCAGACCTCTGAAATGTTGCTGTTGTGTCTTTTTTATGCTTCCTACTGACACATCCTTCTTCATAGACTGCATACAAATCTTTGGAAGAAACGATACAAATACTAAATAATATAGGAACCCTTCCCTAGAATCCTGAGTTATATAGACGTGCAGTCGTCCTCCAATGTATTCATACCCTTCCATTAAAGAAAAGGCAAAATTCACAATAGTCACTCAAATAACTAGAAACTGAAAAAGGTAATAGTAAATAGAGATTTGCTAAATTATAATTTAGTGAAATAAGACATTGCTTTTGAATTGTGGTTGAAAAGAATAATTAAAAAAACAAAACTGTCCTGGACAAATTAGAGCACTTTGCTGATGAGCAGTGGGTCAAAATCAAAACACCTGTCAACAGGTGCAGAAGTCTGACTGAGAGTTTCAGAAAACACTTGATTGCCTGAAACAAAGCATTAGTTTACAGGTCCCATCATGCTTGCTTGCTTGTTTTTTGTTTTTTTCAAATATTTCTATTGAACCACAATTCAAAAGCAATGTCATGATTTTCGTTTTTGTTTTTTTGTTGTTTTTTTTAATATTACTTTTGTCAATTTTAACTTATTTCAGTGACAGCTGTTTTTTTTCCTTCTTCACTGAGAGGGTGTGAATACATTTAAGGATGACTGCAGGTTATAGTTTGCAAGGCAGAGATGCCTCATTTTAATGTCAATAATTAGTTAAGTTTAATGACGACTGTTTTTTTTCTGTTTAGGTGGACAAATTCCTGCACAATTTCCAGCTGTCAGATAAGACTTTGATGGATGTGTCATTACGATTTCGTCGAGAGATGGACAAAGGCCTGTGCAGAGACACCAACTCCACAGCTGCTGTTAAGATGCTGCCCACATTTGTGCGGTCCACTCCTGATGGAACAGGTAAAACCCTGTTCATGTGCTGTCAGTTCATATGAATGATGAATCTAATCAGAATATCTACCATCAAAAAGGTTCACTGGGCTTTTTACTAGAACTGCAACATGCTTGAAAGAGTGCGTTTCCGTGCTGCAAAGTGGTGATCCTTTCTGGAGAGAGTACATCAATGTAATAGTAGCTTTCTAATTGCGCAGCTTTTCACAAAGACGTAACTGAGGTGAGGCCGCATGTGCAATGTGGCTTTAATTTTCATCAGGAGCAATGAATCAGTTTTCTGAGAATTTCTCTCCTAGGTTGGTAATAACTTGAAAATATCAGAAATAATTGCACCAGCACATTTCATTCTATAAATCTTTTTCATTAAATACATTTTTCCTCAAGTGATAGCTTCATGGTTTATCACATCAGTAATGCATTTCTACTATACCTGTATTCGTAAATTGTTTTAGCGTTCTCTATGGAGTCTTTTGTTGCTCATATTCAAGGTCCTTGTTTGTTTGTATCTTGTTCTCTACTGTCACACACGACACCATACATGAGCATGTTCTTGATTAAAGCTGGAGCAAAAAAATTAATTCATCAATAAATTGTTTAACAACAAAGGAAGTTGTCAGAAGACATCACCTTGCGTTCCTGGAAATTGTACCGGTATGATACTTAAAGATAATTGTGATATTATTTTTGAGAGCCTGCTGGTAATTTTGTAATGTAAGAATTTTCAGGAGACCTCAAATGTCTTAAGCAGAAGCATTTATTGAAGCTCGACATCAAAGATAGTTGACATAAACAATGTAAAGCCACACTAGATTCTGAATCTCATTCTGTCCAACATTTTCTTTAGACATAACACAGTAAAACAGAAGCCCTCCTATCTTTTTGGCCTTGGATGAGACTAGCAGATGATGAATTATTTCTTTCTTAAACAAGGATATGCACTTTAGTCAGCCACTTAAAAGGCATGGAGTATATTTCTGTACCTTTTTGTATTCATTGTATTGTAAATGTACAAATCTGTTGTGAATGTTGAACATTGAGTTTTCTGTGGTCATGTCTCGTGTGTGCGATGCAGTTATAAACACATCTCAGTCAACTCTTCAGTTCTTTAGGGCAATAAATGATAGAATGTTAAATCACACTTGTGATAACAGTCATAGTTAGCAAAAATATAGTAGCAATGAGAATATTTCAAAAAAAATAAAACTGCTTGTCTAGAGCCTTATGAGGAAGGAAGTCTGGTTGCTTTCACTTTTTGTCAATCTGATTTTGTGTGTAATTACATTTTTTCTCAAAGAACAAGGTGAGTTCCTGGCCCTGGACCTCGGCGGAGCCAACTTCCGAGTGCTTCTGGTCAAAGTTATGGCTGATGGTGAGCGAAAGGTGGAGATGGAAAATCAGATTTATGCCATTCCTGAACACCTCATGAGAGGCAGTGGGTCTGAGGTAAGAGACATTTTCATGTTCCATACACAACACAATAAATGTGGTACACAACAATACATAGGAGTGCGTGGCCTGTTACCTCTTGTGTGTAGTGTCAGAGAGACACAGCTGTGCTATACAGGAATGAATATAGAAACACACAAATATATAAGGTGCAGCAAATGAGAGGAGACTAATCATAAAGAAAAAAAACGGTGATGCAAACATTAATCATTTTGCAGTAAAAGCACTGTGTGTGTCTTACTCCCTTAATTGTACACAGAGTGATGTTTTTGTCAGGAGGAAGAATGCAGTCTGTTTCCGTTAGCTTGCAATGTAGAGCATGTCGCACCATTGATTAATTAACTTAAAAATGAAGAGGGAGTCACGCTGATTAATGAGGTTAGCCACTCACTTCACAAGATGTTATTTCACAACAGTATCTCAGTCGAGCAGCTGTTAGGTGAAACACATATCCAAAAACTACACTTTACAGTAAAGACATGAGCTGGTTTTCTATTAATATTATAGTAGAATTAAAATTTGAAAAAATAAAAAAAATGAATTACCGCCTTGCAGTTGCAGCGGTATGTATTAGTATCATGGTAATAATACACATATGATAATAGAGAAATAATTCTGCAGCACTGGCTGGAACAACATACAATACAGTTGTGTTGCATTTTATTATTACATAATAATTTGCCAAGAAAGATAGACAAAAAATTGATTAAACAAACTTAACAATGAATGTTATTAATATGTTTTACTTTATTTTATTTTTATTGATTTTTCAATAGAGATTATTATGAATTTCTTTAGCAACAATTGTTGTTTTAGTGAAAAACTGATACAATGACACTCCTACTTCGCACATCTTTAACTTGGCAGCTGAGAATTCAGAATCCAAATCAGCTAATTTGAAGAAATTTCCTCAAGGCATTCCTTAGATATTTTTTTAGACACTGTGGTTATCAGAATTGAACAGATGCACTTACAGATTGACTGACATTCCCCAAAAAGTGCCTCTGGCCTTGGCTGTCATGGACACAGGCATCAAAAAATAATAAATTGATATTCTGTTTAGCTTAATGGAGGGCTACAGAGCATTTGCAAACAGACAGGCTGAGGGGTGAATATCAAAATCAAGTCTCGAAAACTAATAATCACAGATTATACAACAAGCTAATCACATGTAACAGACAAATGTGACTGATTCTAAAAGGACTATAATCACCACCGACCCCTGCTGAGTCCACCTATAGCTTCACATTCACAAGCATCCATTTTCATGGCCTCAACAAATATCAAGGTTAATCAGGTTGCTACAATAAAAAGCACAAGAGTAGGCTGAGCTTCTGACTGCAGTTTGCTTCAAAGAGAGAGGGAGTGGGTCATCAGTCTTTGTCAACATTGAATTGAAGAGAGCTCTGACTCCTCTTCAAACCAAAGACAACCTAATTCCTGCTGCTCAGCCTTGAAAAATCAAAACAACAAACTGATCAACAAAGTCAAGGTCTCATTTTGTATTTCCTGTAAGACTGTTGAATTGAAGTACGCTTGTGAAAGAATTGCAAAATGGGGTTGGTTTGGTAGTTTTAATAATGTTGCAATAAACAATTAAACCCGTCTAATTGGGTATTACAGGCAGACAGCACACCGCTCTTACAAATTAGGCTTTGCAATACTTTTAACATTATATACTACTGAGTGGTCCAGTAAGACATTATTTTACTGCCCAGTGGAAGATGTTGAAAAAGATATTGTCATTTACTGCAAGAAACAACCATCTTCAAACTCATCAAACCTGCTGGCTCCAAAGCAACTAGACTTTTCTCCTCTGTGATTTCCTGGTGGTGGAACGAGTTACCAAACTCTGTTCAATCTGCTGATTCCCTCTCAGTCTTTAAGAAGAGACTAAAGACCAGCTCTTCACCGAACACCTTTGCACTTGACAGACTAAAAAAAAACAAAAAAATGCAAAATTCCATCTTGCCTCCCTGCAGCCTGCTATTGGCATCAACGCCCCCATCTCCTAGGATCTCCCCCCTGTGCACAAAAAGTAATAATTAAAGCACCACTTTATGACCAAGTGATCTGCTAAGCCACAAAATGCAGAATGTTTAACTGTACATCCTTAATCCTTTGAACCCATGTAATGTATGGGTGTTTTTCAGTCCTGTCACATTTTCAACACTGTGGATTATTTTTTACTGCAGTATGAATTCCTGCACCCCTATGGAAACAACAATACTGGTTGTGTGGAAGGCAGGAATTTTTTTTCTATAGAATCTTGTGTAAATGGTAAAAATTTGAAGACATGTAGAATACAGTTATTTTGATGCTTAGATTTGGGGAATTTTTCTGATAGAATGACATGTCACAGATAAGTAGTTCAAAAAACAAGGTTGGAAAGCTGACATTCTGTTGATTCTTTCTGTTTAATAGCATAATTTTGTGATTTACACAATTGCTTTCGATGGACATTATAGAAACACTACACAGTACATTAGAATAATTTATTATGGCAAAGTTTATATAAATCATTGCAGTAAAGTATGTTCATGCCAGGATTCATCCATTATGAGCACACGTTCAATGTGTTGTTTAGGGCATCGTAATGTTGAGGATTGACTAGAAATGTGGCCAAGAGTCAAAATGTTAAGGAGTAGCATCTTATCTCTGAGGCATAAACATTGAACAGATAATTCAGGAAGTTATCACTCACCAGTTTTAGTAGTGTACAGGTATTTGTTATTGACCATTCTGAGAACATTTTTTCAGTGGGAATTTAACAGCCCCACAGCTGTACTATACTAACAAAGTAATACAAAGGATGCTACAATAAGGACTTAAATATTTGTAGCATACACAACATTGTGTGCATAAAAAGAAAATTGAAGGTTTTCAAATCTTGTTTTCTAAAAAAACTGACCTTTTCTCTCCTGTAGTTCTTTGACCACATAGCTGACTGTCTGGCTAATTTTATGGACAAGATGGGCATAAAGGATAAAAAGCTTCCTCTGGGCTTCACCTTCTCTTTTCCCTGTCAGCAGACCAAGTTGGATGAGGTGAGTGACTCAGGGGTTGTTTTTCTGTTTCAAGTAATAGTTGAATGGTTACAGAGCTCCAGAGTGCAACTATCTGGAGTCTGTTGGACCAGTGTGCCTGACATTTAGCATGTGTGCGTGTAGTGCTGTTTTGTTTCCCGCCCATGTTCTGTGCTACATGGCAGATCGATGATGTTCTGCTCTGTAAGTTGCTGCAGCAGCTCATTCCTGCACTCCATTTTGCTGCTCTGCTGGATTGGAACTTCCACTGGCAGCTCTGTAAAACTGTTCTATTGTGCCGCATACTTTCACTTGCAGTGTTTCTATAGTTTGTGGCTGGGCCGTAATATTCAGTCACTGCAGTTCAGTGTTGTATTTTAGCCTCATGATGTTTTGTCCCTAAGCTGTGCACTGCATATATATTGGTGACATCTGTCCATGTTGTAATTATTGCTTTTTTTTTTTTTTAGAGACAATAGTAAATCTCACACTATCTTTGTGCATTATTTTATGTCCTTTATGGTGTTACTTTATTGGTGTTACTCCATTCTAGTGTTTGTTCGGTTATCAGCTCACTTGCAGTGCAGCGCTCTGGCTTTTTCCTGCTGTCACACAATAATATTTCATTTAATTGGTAGGCCAGTAGCCCTCTGCAATCATGAAATGAAAATGGAAATGAAATGAAAAATACTTTATTTATCCCAGAAGGGAAATTCAATATTGTAAAAAGCTCACTTT